CTGATTATAGAATCCATGATGTCATGAATGGCAGCTATCCCTTAGCGGATAATGCTGGTAGAAAAAATTGACAGAATTTGGTCAGTTTTCTGGTATGTTTCATGCATGTTTGGTATGTGTGTAAAGAAGTGGAGTAGAATTCAAGGAAGTGCCTGCCACAAGGTTTGCATGGTTCTGCCAATTTCACTCAGCGACTTTTCAAGCAGAATCTGCTAAGTGTTAACTACAACACTCATACAGTCAGACCTCGTTTAACCGCACACAGCCGTTGTCCACAAACAAATATCCGGATGGGCGAGGGAACCGGATAATCAACACATACTGTATGTATGCACTACAAACGAATACGAATATCGACTATCCGAATATTCTTATTGTTAATGAACGAACGAATATTCGTTCGTTTACGACTGCAACGCTTTCAACAATGATATTTAAAAAAGTTAATAATTGACCTAACGTGAAGATTATACATTTCCAGAAATGCTCGTTTTTTGCCAGGAAATGTTTTTTTATGCCATATTGGAACGCGAAGCGCGCTGGTCGTGTCACTTGTCGCCTCTTGAGATCGACAATGGCTATCGAGCAGCGATCTATTGTTCAGGTCATCGGGCTTCTGCCTGACGATGCTCTTCTGCTCAATACTCACGATGAGGAATTCTTGAAGTAGATTGAGTCGTACCGTGACATACCACTGGGAAAGTTCGGAATAATTCGGAACCCTAAACTGCATGAGTACGAGAGTAACGTTCGACTCGACTGCTTCTTCTCGTTCGACTTTCTCGAAGGTTCTACTGCTCCGTCGACTCTTGACCCCCCCCCCCCCTCCCCGGTGACAGTTGAAAGATACTACTAGCAGGTGTGGTGTACTATTCGAAACGCAGAACATCCCTATTGTATGTTTGCTGAAGTGCCAGCAGGATTCTAGCCTCTTTTAGGCAAACGAAGTTCACCACCAGTGAGCAGTGCATGTACATGTATGTAATACCATTATGTAATCAAGAAGCGTGTTCCACTGTCCGAAGAGTGATCAATACTAGGTGAAATTTATATTTACCGTTAGGTGCCTGGTTTCTCTACCGAAATCACCGAAATTAAAGTTACACCGAAAATTACATGTTTTGCAGTACCCACAGGGAATAATTTAACCGGTATTGCATCGCAGTTTGCTACGCAATTCTTCTGAGGTGCAAAGGAACTTCAGAAATGTGTCGCAGATAACTGCGATGCATGTTGATTTTTCACTGCAGCCAATGATGTACAGTGTGCATGTCAGGTGTGTCTCTTAGGGATGAGATTGATGCGCAAAAATAGACTTCGAAAGTGCTTATCTACGCATTTTGGCACCAGATTAGGTTTTGAAGAAAATAACTATTATATGCAACAATTTCGAATTGCAATATTGCTTAGTTTGATTTTGCATAGCAAAGGTGCTATGCAAAAAATTGAAAGTAAATTATTCCCTGACCCATATAGGGCAGAGCCTGTAATACGTACTACACATTGTGATTGTTGACAAGCATGCAGCGGTGAATCAATATCAAACAAAGAAGTGGGTCACTACGAGTACTTACTGGGGATAATTGCGCGGCTTCACGGTCCCGGTCTCTCTGCATACTGGAGAACGAGCGCCCGGAACAGAATGTTGTCGAAGGCAAACCCATTGGCCGGCAAGACAGCAATGATTACCGTATGTACACAGGTTAGTCCACATTATGGGAATTTGGTATAACCCCACACCCGTCATTGTTGAATATTCGATAATAGCGTGGATTTCCCCAACAATATATTTTCATTTTTTGTTATCCTCTCCCATGCCGTTGTACATAAGCGGCTTGCCGCGGATATGTCAATACTGCTTAGTGGTCGTCGAGCGGTGACTCCGCGGCAAAATCCGTCCACGTCCGCTACGGAATGCCGAATGGTTCGACCGAGTACCCACCGCCGCAACAGTGCTCGTATTTCGGCAAAATGTCCTTTTCACCATTCACGACGAAATGTTTCGGCATCTGGCTCGCGGAAGAAAGACATACTAGTAGTAGTAGTAGTAGTAGTGCGAAGCTCACAAGCACTCAGTCTCACAGCCCCGTTCAGCGGTTCACTGCACTTACATCAGGTGCTCGCTGAATGCAGTGAAAACAGGGAAGAATAAACTGTTGCTCGAGCATCATCGCTAACGACTATTCTAGCTTCCTTATTTTCTGATAAGAATAAACTTCACGAAGTAGTGGTTGCGACATCGGCGATGATTTGTAAGAAAGGTTTGCTCCCCACACCGGAGCTCGCGCTATTCCGCCGACTTTACTTGACACTTGACTGACTCACGACTGCCATCCAGAGCACACGAGAAGTCCATCGAACCTTCGACTCGGCAAACCTGCAAGAAAGCACCACTCCCTGCTCAATACACAGTGTTTCGGGGAATTCACCCCTCATCAGTTGAGCTTGAGTAGGCTGAGGAAGCGTTGCGAATGACCGAGGGTCCTCGACGTCTGTCTCACCGTCCAGGAGCGACACTGACTCACACTGCTATCTGGTGTTCACGAGGTGTTTATCGCGCTGGAAGCGGAGCGTCTCTGTAAGTTTGTATCCCTGGTGATGTTTGTGCCTGGAGAGCACTATAAGTGGTGCTCTTCAGGCACAATCTTCCTCAGCCTACTCAAGCTCAACTGATGAGGGGTGAATTCCCCGAAACACTGTGTATTGAGCAGGGAGTGGTGCTTTCTTGCAGGTTTGCCGAGTCGAAGGTTCGATGGACTTCTCGTGTGCTCTGGATGGCAGTCGTGAGTCAGTCAAGTGTCAAGTAAAGTCGGCGGAATAGCGCGAGCTCCGGTGTGGGGAGCAAACCTTTCTTACAAATCATCGCCGAAGTCGCAACCACTACTTCGTACTGTTGTGCCCAGCGCGGGCTTGCGACTACAGTCCGTTTCAAAAAGATTTACGATCCTGGCGATCGCCCGCGGAGTTTGGCGTCTTACCGTATGAGCACTCGAGCGCTGCCTGGAAAAACTCACTGTGAACTCGAAGAAATATTCCGCGCGAAAGCAGGAAAAATGACAACTCACTCACGTTGACACAGTCATGTACGTCTGGTTTACAACAAACGAGTTCTTCCTCGTATCGATAATGGAGTCAGAGAGGACATGTCGAAACGAAAGTGTTGTAAATGTTGACGAGCTCCTTGGGTCCGTTTTGTGACCAAAATAGTTTCTTTGAGCTGCGATGCAATTTACTCACCGTGTGACGAAAACGACATCGACACGGACTCATTCCCAAGGCCATGACTTGGCAAAGCTATCCGTGTGACTTCGACGACATTTTGAGAAAAGCAGACGCTTGTGAACGCTGATAGAAGACGGCGTTGACTGCTAAATTCAAATAAATTGGCGATCTTGAAATACTAAAATAAATCTCAAAAAGCTACAGCGCGATGACTTCCATTATAATTCACTCACACCATTGCAGTGTTGTGGGTGTGTTCACATGGCGTGAGTCAGTCAGTTCGGCAGGAAGCGCGAGCTCCAACAACAAGTCGTTTGGTGCAGCCATCTTCTTTGTCTTGTACCAGCTTGATCACCAAAACAATGAAAAAAAAGTTTGACTTGAGAGGATAGGTTGGGATTTGAACTCACAACTTCATGGTCAGCAGACAGCATTCATAACCACACGGCCAAAAAGGAAAGGATAAATCGTGGGTTTTGATAAAAAATCGATACTGGCTTCCACGGCAAATTGTAAACCATTGGAAAAGGCCGGAAACCTGGCCGAAATTCTAACTCCTTAGCGGTTGGTCCAATTGTTCCGAAACCTTCACAGAACAATTTGCCGTGTCCTAACAAGCCATTCTATGTACTTTGTTGTCCAAATTTCCCTTATCTTCATACTTTTTAAGACCGAAACTTGATTGTAAATCTTTTTGAAACAGACTATAGTTGGTTTGGAGGTGACAGCGTTGCGAATGACCGAGGGTCCTCGACGTCTGTCTCACCGTCCAGGAGCGACACTGACTCACACTGCTATCTGGTGTTCACGAGGTGTTTATCGCGCTGGAAGCGGAGCGTCTCTGTAAACAGACAGTTTGTATCCCTGGTGATGTTTGTGCCTGGAGAGCACTATATAAGTGGTGCTCTTCAGGCACAATCTTCCTCAGCCTACTCAAGCTCAACTGATGAGGGGTGAATTCCCCGAAACACTGTGTATTGAGCAGGGAGTGGTGCTTTCTTGCAGGTTTGCCGAGTCGAAGGTTCGATGGACTTCTCGTGTGCTCTGGATGGCAGTCGTGAGTCAGTCAAGTGTCAGCGGAATAGCGCGAGCTCCGGTGTGGGGAGCAAACCTTTCTTAAGAATAAACTTCAATGTGAGAAAAGCAAGAACTGTTTCCCATCGTTTGTGCCTGTCACCAGTTCACGGGTATCACTAGTACTTCAACATCGACGCTAGTGCACTGGAGATCTAACTAGTATTATTAAAGTCATGATAGCAGGAGTGCATGTACTGAAACAGATCTACAATCCTACATGATAATATTTTCATCCTGCATTCTCTTAAAACATTCAGTCATGTCACATGATGTGTATTTTGTAACAAAATGCACGTGACTAAAATGTTAGAATGCAGGATGAAAATATTGCACATCACTCATCACTACTACACTGTGTCTGCAGTCTAGTACAGTAGTAGCGCCATCCGTCAGCTCGGTGCTAAACCTTGACGCTGCCCTGAACTGAAGGTGCAGGGGATGACCTTGTCATACTCTATAGGAATGGGTGGGTGGGAACTCACGCTGGGAAACCCTTCCGTGCCAAATAGCACGTGTAAAGGTATAATATTTATTATTATAATTGTTGCAAATTCAGCACGGGGGGGGGGGGGGGATTATCCTTCCTCACACGTAACGTTATGTGCATAGCATAATACACATGATATACAACGTCACACACGTACGTACGCACACACACACACACAAACGCACACGTGTGCTTGCAGCTTGCACACATCATGTCCAGTGACAACTGTCATTCTCAAAATCATTAAAAGCACAAGCTGAAACACATACTCACAGCAGTCACAGGTCACCAAGGGCCTTAGATTTACAACAACAACAAAACTGATACAAATGTACGGAAGAAGAACAGGTAAAAGCGCAACACAACAAGCACTTGAAATAGCACATCCTATAGGTCCTCTCACTCACAACTAGCCAACAACAGCACTGAAATTCATGAAAACCTACTTTACACGGTAACCACGGCAGTAAAACAAAATAAGAAAAAAGTTTTTGATCTACATGGAGCGTTGGGGCTGCTCGCGACAACGTCACAAGTGAACTCAGAGGCATTGTCACTCTTCTGCTGCTCACACTTTACATGGCTCTGCCTGCGATCGGGACACAAGAAAACAAATAATTATCACCAAAGAAAAGGTACAACCAGGAGAGAGCAGGAACAAGAAAACACTGTAGCAAATATTCTGTAAAAAACGAAAGAGAGGAAGGGAAAGGAATTTTAAAAAACAGATAAAAAGCTAAAGCGGGCAAGGGCAGTGCAGGGTAGAATACTTTTGCCAGGTGTGCGGGTACGCGAGTGTGCATAGCTGTGAGAACATGCAGTCTGCTACAGCACAGGTTGGCAAAGGGCGCACGCATCGACCTGCTTGAACCACTGTAGTAGCACAATGAAAAAACCTTTCAAAAGTTTTAGAACACTTACACAAGCACACGCGTGCGCGCGCAAAAACACACACACACACGCTGATAGAAGCAAAGAGACTCAAAAGGCACCGGGGGCCGATGCTAGACATACTCAAGGCGATAAAATAAATTAAAAACAGCTGGCAAGCGCAAAAAAAAACAAAAAAAACAAGAACTGCAGAAGTAAAGAAGTACAGAAAAGAGTCCTAGTGTCAAAATGAGACGACAGGATGAAGGAAGGCTGAAGCATTGCAACTCTCGGCGCTCATCTCAACCAACAAGCATACGGCAGGGCGTGATGAGAAATGCGAAGGGCAGACCGCTCCGCAACAGCAGTGCATGGCGGGGAGGGAGGGAGGGGGGGGGGTGCCGTGCCATGGTACATAGATAAGCATCACAGGACAGGACACACAGCTTGGGGAGTGGTGGTGGGGGGGGGGGGGGGAGGGAGGAGTATTGTGATATCACGGTTGATTATGGCCCAACGTTTGTTTCTAACCGATCACCGGCCGGCACGTAGATGCTGCAAATTCTCTACTCTCAAAAATGGCGCACGCACGCGCACACACACACACACACACACACACACACACACACACACACACACATGGATCCCTGCCACTGGCCATCCTTCACGACGAAGACGTAGGCATGAGTTGCACGGCACTCAGCAACCCTGCACAGAGCCCACCTTTCTCACTGACCAGCGGGCAAGCAGAGGAACTGACTCTAACCTCTCACATCACCCTCAGCATCAGGTCTACACCGATTGCACACTGCTCAGAGCAACTCACAGTACTAGCTCAGAATCCACGGGTCAAGTAGTAAAATCGTTACTCGGAGCGATGTCAAGAATTCACTCAGTCGTCGCCGAGATCATCGGATTCCCCGACCTGTTCTGACTTGCGCTTCCTGGCTGAGTAGCTGCGGGGCATGCCGGTACGGACACCCCTCTGTAACTGTGTCAGCTCAGACTGCACAGAGTTGAACGTCTCGGTGGCCTCGTCGAGCTCCCGCTGCAGCTTCCGACGCGACTGCGTCAGGCGCGACGCCTCTTCCTCCTGTGAGCACGCACACATGCATACACATACACACACACACACACACACACACACACACGCACACACATACACACACATGCACACGCACACACACACACACACACATGTCCATTGCAAACGCCAAGAACAATGCGACACAAAGTAGGTAAGTACACCAGCAAAGACGATACTAGACAAGGTGTCTACCTCAACCGGCAAAGCGCTAAAACTGCAACACCAGAAATTTTCAAATAATCTACATGGAGATAAAAGTTCAATAATACCTATGAAAAGTATGAATGCAGCAGACATCACCACGCAACATGACAATTTGTTCTAGGTTTGAAATTGTGTTTATCCAGAATCGATTTTCAAGCTACGATCATCTGTGGAAATATGGAACTAAAGACATTTTCAGTGGAGTTTTCATTTTTTGGTAAGGCCATCATTTTTTATAGCTATGTTTCGCGTCGTCCGCACGCATACGTTTTGATTTTTTTGGGAAAAAAATAAAAAAAATCGAACATGCACAGTGAATGTACGATCGTGCGAGTCATAAGTGTGGATTGGTTGCATACGGCGAAGCTGGGATTCAGAAATGGCCTCTACTGGGCTCTAGGCCAGGATTGGTAAATCGTTTGTTCGGAATCTGGGAGCAATATTCTATGAGCTCACACCAGACCGCATTGATCGCCTCAAGCTGAGAGGATGCGTCGTTCCGGAGCTCTTTGCACCGCTGCTGAAGTCTGAGTACAATAATCCAGCGAAGCATAGGCACCAACGGTTGCCTCCTCCGTCCAAAGTGAATATTTACTCATGTTGATAACCAAGATGTTGTGCCTCGATGTACGATTTTTCTTTCGAATGTACACCATGCACGAGCTATTGTGCTATGTACAGTGCATACACCTCTGATGAGCCTTTTTTATTATTTTGCAACTTTTTATTTTTTCCACCTCTCGCATATGATTCTGGAAGTTGACCTGACGCGAAACATAGATATAAAAAATGATGGCCTAACACAGGTGCAGCAAAACTATACCTAAAAAAATAATGCCACCAGGTAGTGCTATCAGTACAATACAGCCCGACCTCACTTAACCGCTCACATCTGTTTTCCGGATAAAAAAATATATCCGGATAGGTGAGGGAGCCGGATAACCGAACACCGGTTATGTTGGATGAATCACGTAGGCTGTAAATCTGAAACCAGCTATTTTCTTCCGGATGGTGAGGGATGCGGATAAAAGAGGATCGGATAAGCGAGGTCTGACTGTAGTGCCCACCAGCACTTGCATGGGAGCAAGCCAAACTAACCGATACTGAAGAATAAACGCTACTGAAACCCCGATTCTGGGGTAAGCCGAAAATGTTACACCACCGAATCGTTTTGGTTTTACAGCACGCAGCAAACCTTGACACGCAAGCAAATCACAGGCCTGGCAATTCAAACTACGCACAACATCGAAAGAGGAACAACAAACATGTTTGGCCAACTCCACGGCAAGCCAGTCAGTTGAGATCATTTCAGCACTAAGACATACACATCTGTCCTACTCTCTGTACCATTGTCTTTCATTATTCTTTTCGAGCTGGGTAGGTGAACATAGTAAAATAAAATAAAATAAAACCACACACACACACACACACACACACACACACACACACACACACACATACACACACACACACACACACACACACACACACACATACACACACACACACACACACACACATACACACACACACTTACCGCTTCATCCAATTGACGCTTGAGTGCCTTCATTCGAAGTGACAACTTGTCATTCTGCGAGAACAGCAACAGCAGAGTGATACATGTAGTAATAAATTTGAGAGGCCGACAAAGGCTCCACTTATCTCTACAGGTCTACACCTAAACCACGTCACAAGCTGGTTGAATAGTGGAATCTGCTGATTGTGCTCCAGTCAAGAAAATCATAAGTCTAAACCCAAGTCAAAGTGAAAACGTCCGGATTCGCCAGTGAAAACAACCATACCGGTATGCAAATTTTCGGCTCAGCCACCCCTCCCCCACGAGTAAATTGTACTTCAGATGGCTGACCGTACCACAGTAAATTACCTTGCGCCGCCCCTGGCCTAATAAACACCCCACAGTCCGTCACAAAGAAAGAAAAAAGCGTATTCTTAGTACTTGCACAGTACTCTACTCACGTGCTCATGAAGCTGATCGCCACGTCGACGCTCCTCCTCCACCTGACCAATCAGGTCCTTGTTCTTGCGATCCAAGCGCCGGTTAGTCTTCTGCAGGCTATGCTTTTCGCTGTGCAGGACCATAGGGAAAAAGGGGCGGGTTGACAACGTTGGACACGCGAACAGTGACTTTGTAATGTAACATTTTATAGCAATAAGGGACCACACATGTGTGTGTGGGGGGGGGGGGCAACTTGACTCGGACAACCGGACTTCATTGAGCTCAGCACTGTAGAACTGCAGTATCCCGTGGAAGAGACTCAGACAACGAAGAAACCGGTGCACATACCGTCATGTCGCGTATCAAGGCCGGGCATATTCCTGTAGAGACCGATGTCAGGGCTAGGCTTCTATTCACATCCGGCTTCTATCCAAACCAGGTCTTTCTAACTTTCTATGTGTGTCAACACTAAAACCAGGCTTATGTGCCGACAATGCATCTTGAAAATCAGGCTTGTATTCAAAACAGGCTTCTATATGAGACAGGCTTTAATACAAGACAATACAGTAGTCTGAATGGTGGACAGCGCTGGCTTGCCTACAGATCATGATGGCATGCGTACAGGCGGCATGCGTACAGGTACACGTGAGAAATTCGGCATTGGTGACACTTACCGCGATTCTACTTCTATCTGCTCCTCCAGTGTGGAGATCTTCATCTCTAGTGAGCGCACTTGACCCTTCAGACGTGAGCCACGCTCATTCTCCGCAGATTCCAATTTCGACTTGAGATCCTTGGTCTGAAAGAAGCAGAGAAAGGCAAGCCACCACAAACAGGCAGAAATTCTTGGACCTGCTTCTCAACATGGCAACACTAAACAGACCAAGAATGGCCGTGAGCGTCCAAAGCATACAGCCGCTCAGGGACGTAGCTGATCTCCCTTTTAGGGGGGTGCACGGATGTGTAGGGTGGCTGGTGCATGACATTCATGGTCAACATGCGCGTGCTGCACCTGGGTTGGGAATTTCAGGGGGTGCATGTGTCTCCCCCCCCGTGCCCCATGCGAGCTACGCGCTGCAACCATACTTATTATTTAGATCTACATGTACATGTACAAAATATCCCCATTAAGACCAGTACTCTGTACATGCTGGTGTGGCTGCTGTCCTATCCCAGGGAATTTTCTAGAACCGCCCCAACCGGTTTTCGACCGGTTGAAATTGTTGGCGACCGGTTGAAAAGTTACAAATCAGTTCCAACCGCCCGTACTTTTCTGTGGGTGAATGGAGCTGTGAATGGTCAAACGCTTTTTTCTGGACGGATACTTCCAGCGAAGCCGCGTGGGCTGGTACTAGGGTCACGAGTGTGTACTCCAGCACCAAGAAATCTGTTAAATTGCTGTCGAGTGCCATATTTGGGTTGTATTTTGAAAAAAATTACGGGGGGACCCCCGGACCCCCCGACTCATCATTGGACCGTAACCGGTTGGAAATTCGTCCTAGAATATACCCTGTATCCTGTATCATGTTATCCTTTCACCCATTCACGGCATAGTCCTTCCCCTGTGTGTCGCCATGTAAAGACGGTACGTGACCTCGCACTACCCCCGTGCTACGGACGATACCACGCTCTGCTGGGCATGGCCTCCCTGACTCTTCACTATATCTACACTCATCTGTCTGTAAAATAAACCACTTCCGTATGTCAGTACATGACACAACAGCTGCTGAGCACACGTATTGCCTGCACGATAGCAACGCTTAGTACCTGTCTGTCCAGAGTTGCGTTACTGTGCTCCAGCGTGGCAACCTCCTCCTTGAGTGCGCTCATCTCAACTTGGGTCGATTCAAGCTGTGTGTAACACACACACACACGCGCGCACACACACACGCACACACACACACGCACACACACACACACACACACACACACACACAGGAATCGCTATCTGTGACATAGCTGGGGTGACCGTGGAGTACCAAAGCATCCCCGCCCATAACAAATTCCAATCACGGTATGCAGAGCACTTACTGCATGCGCAACATCTGCAGCATGCACCAGGTATAGTATAACATATTGTTTTCGGTGTAACTTTAATTTCCGTAGAGAAACCAGGCACTTAAATTTAGATAGCACCTAAAAAGCACTGGAGTAGGAACTGTATGTGCAGGGAATGCTGGTCACCTAATTCTGCATTGCACCTGAAACCTGTTAGATCCGCGACACCCAAATTTGATCCTGTACAGACGAGTGCCATGCGGTGCCACCCCGTGCAAACATCGCAAGTCACACACACGCGAGGCACATTGTACCATAAAAATGATGTAAACGCCTATCATTCTACACAGTTTCTCTACTTACCAGAGACTGTGACTTCCTGGACTTCTCCATGTACATTTCTGTGTTGGCTTGTTCTTCCTCCAAGTCTTCCTCCAGTTGCACAATAGCCTGCTCTAGCTTTCTCTTCTCCTCGCTCAGCGACTGCAGGCGTGGACTGTTACCGCGTGCCTCGTCGTACAGCTCATCACGCTCTGCCTCGGCGTTACGTCGGGCTCTATCGGCCGACATCAGTTCCTGTAAGTGGCAGAGGCAGCGAGAGAGAGAGAGAGAGAGAGAGAGAGAGAGAGAGAGAGAGAGAGAGAGAGAGAGAGAGAGAGAGAGAGAGAGAGAGAGAGAGAGAGAGAGAGAGAGAGAGAGAGAGAGAGAGAGAGAGAGAGAGAGAGAGAGAGAGAGAGAGAGAGAGAGAGAGAGAGAGAGAGAGAGAGAGAGAGAGAGAGAGAGAGAGAGAGAGAGAGAGAGAGAGAGAGAGAGAGAGAGAGAGAGAGAGAGAGAGAGAGAGAGAGAGAGAGAGAGAGAGAGAGAGAGAGAGAGAGAGAGGAGAGATAAAAGCAAATATCAATGTCAAGTCACAACGAGAAAGTATCTGCAAAGTAGGCTGTCTACACAATGTTCCCAGCACGGGATGAAGTGGAAACCAGAATACAAGAAAACAGACGGTGGACCTATCACTGGCTACTGACCTCAGTAAGGCGTGTGACATCCGACTCCAGAACCTTGAGTTTCTTCTCGGCCTCACGGGACAGCTGCAGTGCTTCATCGCGGCCGGTACGGGACTCCTCCAGCTCGTGATAGACCTCCTTCATTTGAGCCTGTGCACACACACACACACACACACACACACACACACACACACAACACACACACACACACACACACACACACACACATACGTGTGCACACACACACACACACACACACACACACACACACACACACACACACACACACACACACACATGCACACACGCACACCAGCAACAAACATCAGCAACAGCAGCAAGAGCATCAGTATCATCAACAGCATCACAGCATCAGCAGTAACATCAGCAGCCGCATCACCACCGCCATCACCAGCAGCAGCACACCACCACCACTACCAGCAGCAACAGCACACCATCACCAGCAGCAGCAGCAACAGCACACCACCACTACCAGCAGCAACAGCAGCACACTGCCACCACCACCACCACCACCACCAGCAACAACAGCAACAACAGCACACCACCACCACCAGCAGCAGCAGCAGCAGCAGCAGCAGCAGCAGCAACAACAGCAACAACAGCACACCACCACCAGCAGCAGCAACCTGAGCAAAGTATGCAGTAGCGTCCATAACATCACCATCATTAGTAAGAACAGCAGCAGCAGCAGCAGCAACTGCAGTAGAGGCTATGGTGTCGGCTAACACAGACGCTCCATCCGAGAACAACCTGACATGCTCATTCCAACCAACCGGCACCACCCAGAAAGAAGCACACGCACACATGCACACGCGCATACCCAGCCACCACCTAGCTAGGTACAAGTACACACATACTGGTAAGTCAGTTATCCCGACACCAAAGTTCACGTCACTTACGTCTGCAGGGCACACTTGCACCAGTTCTAGTGGAAATATTACTACTCTTTGTCACTTTTTGTGGATATGTGACGCCATATGCCATATCGACCGCCTTTCCCAATTGAATCGTATGTGACTCCGAGCTAAAGATAGTTCGAAGACACGAGCAATGCCCCGTCCTGGACCGCCCGGATAAACAACGTATGAATCCACCGGCGCATAGCCCGCACTGGAGGGGGGGGGGGGGGTACGTGCACCCCCTAACAATTCCGACCTAGATTCAGCATGCACATAATGACCATGTATCACATGCACCAGCCATCATCCTAAACATATGCGGCCGTTGAACCCCCTAAAAGGGGGACCAGCTACGCTCCTGATAATGCTTTGTCAGGGTTCTCACCTGAAGTCGTCTAACTTGTTTGGATGCATCCTCCTTGCCCTTCTCCAACTGCAGCTTGTCATTCTCCAGTTCTCTCATCTCGCCTTCCAGCTTCTTCTTGGCGGCGACAGCAGATGATCGATTGCGGCGTTCGTCCTCCAAGTCCGACTCAAGTTCACGCAGCTGCTTCTGCATTCCACGGCGCTGCTCCTCCACAACTTCATCCTTCGACGCCATCTCGCGCTCCCAGTTGGTCTTGGTGGCCTGGAAGTTGACCTGAGCAATGACATGCGGAACAGACAAAGCAATAGTTAGTGAGTGTAAGTGACATTCTCTCAGACCCATCAGACTCATGATAGTGTATGTAACCCAGAGTCAGGGGTTCTCCCCATTTTACTGCTGGATGAGCCTCACAAATCTGGGAGCTGCAAGTTCCTTCAGTTTCAGTATAGTGCTGCCAAATGTTAATGATATGCTGCCGAACCTTTACATACACCCACTCGCATGCCCGTAAACGCATACACAAGCGTGGGCGGCACAGACACAGACACATCAAGGCTACTTACCTCCAGTCTGAGCTTAGCATCCTCCACAGTCTGGAGCTCATCCTCTAGCTCCTCCAGTTGCATCGTCTGGTCATCAAGCTGTGCTTCCAAGTTACGCTTGGCCTTCTTCAGTTCATGAAGTAATTTACCTGCAGGTCACACCACGCACACACGCACACACACACACACACGTAGTGAAGTGCTTTGAACAAGGAAGACACCAGAGTTGAGCAACTCTAGAAAAGAGTCCACCCTACTGATACTAGTACTACAGTACCTTCATATGAGAACAGAGATCAGAGGAAATCGTCCACAGACAGACGAAGAGTAGAAAAGACATAAAGGCACACGATCTCTCTCTCCCTCTCCCTCTCCCTCACACACACACACACACATGCACACACACATGCACACACCACACCACACACACATGCACGCAAACACACACACACACACACACACACACACACACATGCACACATGCACACACACACACCACACGCAAACACACACACACACACACACACACAGAGGAGATGAGACAAATAATTCACTAGTTGATCATTGACCTAGCTTACCAGTGTCATCCTTGTTCTCCAGTTGATCATTGAGCTCAGCAAGCAGTGACTTGCGTGAGCGCTCAGACTCAGCCAGCTTATTGGTCAACATCTCCACGTCCTGTGTTAATGCCATGTTCTATATGCAAACAATACAGGAACAAACACGCAGCAAAAAAACATGTTCTCATTATCAGAGCTTGACATCAGCTGAATGGAGATTGGTTCACATCTATCAAATCTATCGCATGACCATAATTATAATACGGGGCAGCTATGTAGGTTCCAACTCCACTCAACTCCTGCATCTATGGGTCACATGACGTCGGCCATGTTGGTTCCAACTCCACACAACCCCTGCATCTATGGGTCACATTATGCCGGTTCAGTTCAGTTCGCATTATAATAATATAATAATATTCGCGGGATCCGCGTTAGCATCACTTGAATGTTCAGAAACACACAAGCTATAGCCTTCGCTTCCGCAGGCCACCACTATGCCTTCAGTTTGCATTGCATCATAGAAATGATGTCAACTTGAAATTCTGTCAGGACAGCACCCATAGTGGAGTTGCACACTCCTGAGGGGTTATGTACTCTTGGCAATACTAGTACACAGAATGACAGTCCAACGCACGACCAAACCAGAGCACAATCTGTCCATGACGGAGATACAAAAAAACCGTCACATACCTTTGTAGCATACTCTCTGGACTCACGCAGTGCGGCGTCCCTCTGCTCACAAGTCTCTTCCGTTCTGGCCCGCTCATCCGTCAGCGTCTGGTCAAACTTGCGCTGTTTCTTCTCCAGCTCTGCGGCGCGGGCTGCCTGGGCTTCAAAGTTCACACTGAGGTCGGCAACCTGCAGAGCAATGCGTAAAGAGATAGAGAGAAGTCAGGATGAACTCACTCTCCACAGTATCTCCCAGCACTGCAGGGAACACGATAACGGTTGGACATCGGACATTTTCCGACCATTTTCGATTCAAATCCGGCGCTTTTTTACTTGAACGGACAATCTGTCCGACCGAAATAATTGAATAGCGTCGCTGAGAAAGAGAACGACAAAGGACAGTGGCACTCTGGCTGGGAAGAAGTCTCAAGAAGTTAGAGCAGCAACCTGTGACAAGAGGGTTTTACGGCATGGCAGGGAGCTGTCCACTTCAGCGTAGCTCCAGTTTGAGCGTAGCAAACGATCGGGAAGGAGTTTTTGAAATGAATTTTTTTCTCGCTTCCTGCTGAAGCTAGGAACTATTCCGCGACGCGTTTGTACGATCCGAAAAATTAAAAAAAGTCCGTGTTCCAGGGGAAACGAGGGGTCAGAAATGTACCAGCTTGCGTTATCTCTAGCGCCGTGCAAGATCAATGAAGCAACAGCAGCTAAAGTGTCATAAATTCAATGTCGCGTAGAATCTACATGCTGTTCACAGAGCACATAACGTTTGCAAAGATGGGATCCTTCAGCCAACTCGAGTACTCGTGGTGACATGGTGTCGATCTTGGAGCTGGCAACAAGAACGGGCGAGCAGGTGCCCACTTTGTCTTTTGCTGACTTCATAAAAATTACTTTGTCGTGGAAAAAAACAGCTCAAATCCGATATGTGCAGAACCACTGCACGCTCACAGTCACACAGTCCCAGTTACTGTGTTTGCTGCACAATGCACAGAGATTTGAATCAGTGTTACAATCATCTACTTGACTCGAGATCTGTGTGATGTTACTTGTACAGTGCTGGCAACTGAAATCCAACCCCCTGAGCGGTGCGCTCACATCACAAAGACCCACCATGGGATAGTAACACTACGAAACAGAGACCGCCAGAATGTGAACCCACCGCTCAGAGGTCGGATTTCAGTTTCCAGCACTGTACTTTTGTAGCACCGCACTGTAATACTAATAATATTAATAGCATCAAGAGTATGTACCCCCCCCCCCCGGGAGTATGTACATTTACGTGTATGAAAGTGATGGAAAAATAAAAGAGTCCCTGACATGTACATGTATCACAGAATCTGCCAAATCACAGTGTCCGGCCATGTCCGACCGTTTCCAGAAGTGGCAGGACATTGTGTCAGAGCAATTTCGAAATCTTATCGTGTTCCCTGGCACTGTACTTACAAGAACTCAACCGATACTACACCCAGGAGTTTAGAGTGGTTTCACATCTTGGTCATGTGACCAAAGTGCTTGGGTTTGACGCTGCGTCCAGTTTCAAATTTGCCGCAGTGTGACCGAGGCCTTAGTAGTATATTCAGCTGCCGAGCATTCCACCAATCGTGTTCACATAATAATTATAAGCACATTCGCTTACGATAGTTTGGCTCACTCTTCCTCTATTTATTTTATTAGGAAGAAGATCAGTTTGCTTGGACATAGCAAACCTTTCATCATGCACCATGCTGCCTAGTGACTCTTGAACTTTACAGTCAGAAACCTACAGCTGCACTCACTGAAATCCAACAGAAAAGTGCAAAACTGACGCCCAGGACCAGTTCCGATTTCATCACTGCATGTGAACATGTGTACGTCCTGCAGCATTCATGCCACTCCCAGAGCGTCAAGGGCCGTGCAAGTAGACGGCTCCATGCACTTTAGGTCAGAGTTCATCGAGCATAACTGTACAACAGCCTAACTACCAGCATGTAGCATTAGAGAACAGCCACGCAGGCATGCAGCATCGCTCACTTCTTCCGTTAGTCGTTTCTTGGTCTTCTCCAGCTTGGCGTTGGCGTTGGCCAGTTCGTCCTGCTGCGTCTGCAGAGACTCTATTTCTCTCTGCGACTTCTTGCGGTAGTTCTCCAGCTCCTCGTTGTCCAGGGATAGTTGGTCACGATCCCGACGTGTATCAGCAAGCTGCACATAAACACACACAGGTAGAAGTACAGAGCACCGAGCAGAGAGCATGACTTGAATGAGCACTGTTGCCAATAGCAGAGAGGTTTCGGAGTGAGCCATTGGAGAATTGCCCAAGAACCAACCCAAGAATATTGCACAGACTGAGAGCAAACAAACAAAGAGAGAGAGAGAGAGAGAGAGAGAGGGAGAGAGAGAGAGAGGGAGAGAGAGAGAGGGAGGGAGGGAGAGAGAGAGAGAGAGACGGAGAGAGAGAGACAGCAGGCATGCCTAGGTATCCGAACTATATGTACCTGAGTGTTGGCATTGCTCAACTGCTTCTGCATCTCTTCGCGGGCATTTTGCTCCTCCTCCAGCTGATCATTGAGAGTTACTACTTAAGCCTGTGAGGCCTTTAGCTTGTGTGTGACAGCAGAGAGACTAGCTGCATCTTCCATCATTGACTCCTGAACAATGAGAATTAAAAACAACAGCAAGGAAAGACAAGAATGCAGCACAATACCATTTTCAGCTCCGAATACATTTTTTGTCCCTCAGCTTTCCCTCGGCAATACTGTTTCGAATACGGACATACAGCGTTGTTATCATACTGGCATTTGAAAGTAGGTGGCAGGTGGTGGTACTGGCCATAAACCTGTGGTTAGAATCATGCACTGGTGAAATGCTGTCGAGGACAGGTTGGAAACTGTTGCATAGCCCGAATACACAAGAAAACAACATGGGTTTAGGAGTATCATCCACGTCTGCAAAGACTTTCAAATACCAGATATCTATTAGTAGTAGGTGCACGGGCCACCAATCGTGTCCAGAGCTGTACATAGCGTGTGACTTGCGAGTCAAGGACGTGGCGTGATCCAGAAGCCAGATTTAAACCAGGCCCGAATGTACCTTGTCACAGAGTGCTCGAACTGACAAGTCAGTGAGCTCTGCATAATGCAATCAGCAAAGGCACTACCCCACATGTGAGTTCCAGTGTACTTGTGCATGCTATCCCCACCCACAGCAGTTGGAAGCTAAGCTTACCCTGAGCTCATTGAGCTGGGATTCCAGCGCATGCTTGCCGCGCTCCAGGCTAGACACCTTAGACTCCAGATCCACCAAGTGACCATTGCTACCTTCAAGGTCAGACTGAAGACAAGAACACGAGAACAAAAAACAAAGACGTCCACATCACCTGAGGAGAGGGCATGAAAGTTTACTTGTGAAACGTTTCAAAAATGTCAGTGCTGAAGAACCTGAAATTTGTGGTCTCTCTCAGAATTAGACGTCCACTTCACCAAATACTCAGCCCATTATCAGGTTCATCACACAGTACACGTTAAAAGACAACACTCTCAACAAACGTTTTAGCGTTACGAGTAGGTGAGGTCTGACCCAAAGTGCAGCTGTTCATAAAGAGATGTGCTTGAATCCTGCTTGTACATGTAGTTGTACAAATGACACTCTGGGTGTTGGTGTACTCTTGGTGACACACATCTACTAGTAACTACCCGACGCTGACCTGTAGTTTGGTCTTTGTGGCAGTGAGCTCGTCCAGTTTCCTGTTCTTCTCACTGTTGACGTTGGACAACTCCATGTTAGCCTGTTCCAGGTTACGACGACGACGGTCGGACTCAATGCGAGCCGCCTTCTCGCTCTCCAGCTCGGACACCAGGTCACGGTTCTCATGCACCAGGCGATTCTTCTCCTTCTCCAGGTTGGAATTGGCCTAGAGTTGAACAGACAACAAACAAACATACGCACAGACAGGCACACACAAAGACAGACAGACAGACAGACAGACACACACACACACACACACACACATACACACACAGAGGACAGGTTAGGTAGTTCAGTTCATGTACCAGTACAGCTGTAAACCGGGAAACATTTGCGGTATGGAATCGTTCGCGATTTTTGCTATGGGTGTGGAACCGCAAAAATAAGCTGACACAAAACGTTGACTTGTAGGAAAGTAACTAAAGAAATTGACTCCAATCGCAAACCTTTCCAGGTGCAAATCGGTGCGTGTGCTCGCAAATTACTTACTAAAACAGGCATGTTTCCCTGTTAACAGTATCAAGAATATTTCGTCTGTGTTCACCCAAAAGCCAATTTTCCTTGTGCACAGGATGTTTTCTAGGTCCGTATTGTCCACCAGAACACAGACAACAGACAACACACAGCAGTACTTACTCTACTCAGCGTGTTCATGTATACTAAGACCATGTCGTATGCTTTCACCGCAAACTCCATTTCCCACTTTGAACAATGTCTGGTAGGTACGCAATGTTCACCAAACAACAGACAACAGGACTTACTCGACTCAGCTGATCAGCCTCCTCCTGCAGACGCTGGATCTGAGAGTTGAGCTTCTCCTTGAGCTCGGACAATGCGGCATCGTGCATACGAGTGCCTTCCGTCACCTGCAGTTTCAGACTGGCTACCTCTCCTTCACGCTTGCGACGCACTTCCTCCATAACTACCGTGCCACTCACTTGCTCCTCAAGCTCATTTATACCTGGCTAGACGACACCGTGTCTGATGGAGAGATAGCTTTGGATGGCTTCAACATACTGCGCTCAGACAGAAAAGATCAGGCCGGTGGAGGAGTCTGCCTGTACTCCAAGGCATCCCTCCTGGTCAAGCCAAGAATGGACCTCACAGAATCGGCAATTGAGAGCTGCTGGGGAGAAATCCATTGCCAATCTGGAACTTGTTTGATAGGAACCATTTATCGACCTCCATCTGAGCCAGTTCGATACTGGGACTGCCTGGACGACCATCTCCATTCAGCTATAATGCCCGGGAAGAACGTGATTATTTGTGGCGACATCAACATAAACACCAATCCAACAGCACCTCCAGATCCACAGCTTCATTATCTATCTGACCTCGTGGCCAGCTACAGTTTATATCCCGGAGTTCACCAGCCGACTCGGTTCTCAGCAAACTCTGCACCAACCACACTGGATCAATTTTACAATACATTCGACCCTCTAAATATGGCTACTGTTATCCCCATCGCGTTCAGTGACCATGCAGCAGTTCTCAGTGAATTTCAACTCAGCCCAGTAAGAAGTACTGTAACTTCTGGGCTACGGCGACACTACCGAAACATAAATCATGACCAGTTCAAGGCAGATTTGGTCCAACAGGATTTTTGTGAAATTGACGGAAGCCCAACTGTCATGTGGACTGAGTGGGCCAGCCGCTTTCTACAAGTGTTAGACAGACATGCTCCTCTTGCACCAAGCCCTCGACGCAAGAAAAAATCAGTACCATGGATGAACCGCCAGTTATTACACCTCTTGACCAAGCGCAACCGGCTCCATAGGAGGTGGCTTAGTGATGGAACAGAACATTCCCACTCAGCTTTCAAGGCTGCCAGGCGGGAAGCTACCAGCTATAATAGGCAACAGAAAGAGACCTACTACCAATCCAAGTTTCGAGCTGCGTCTGGCAATACCAAACAGACATGGCACACGATCAAAGAATTGAGTGGTAAACATCGACAATCTCAGCCACCTCAATGTTCTGTTGATGCCATCCAAAACACCTTTGCAGAGATAGTAGAGGACGCCAGCCGCCCAGTGCATCTCTCATTTCCCTACGGGCCCGCCTCAAGCACTGATCTGACAGCCTTTGCACCAGTGTCTATTGCCAGAGTGAGGAAGCTCCTCGAACGTTTAAATCCGGCCAAGTCCAGCGGTGATGATGACATTTCTGCAGCCCTTCTCCGCGCACATGCAGACGTACTGGCGCCATCCCTGACTTTGATCTTTAACAAGTCCCTGAGAGAGGGCATATTTCCTGCCCAGATGAAAAGTGCTAGGATATCGCCACTCTTCAAAGGCGGAGATCCGAGCATGCCAAAGAATCATCGACCAGTGTCCTTGTTATCGATTGCATCCAAAGTGTTGGAAAGGATAGTCCACGAGCAACTCACACGATATCTAGTTCAGAGCAATTTATTCCCGCCAACTCAATTCGGCTACAGATCCCACCACTCTACATCCGACGCACTAGTGCTAGCTGTGGAAGGTATCTGTGAGGCCCGCATGAACAGACTCAACACAGGTGTAGCCTTTGTTGATATGTCAAAGGCATTCGATAAAGTGAAACATCAAACTCTTGTGCAAGATCTGTTCGAACTTGGCATCTGCGACACGGCACTCTGTTGGCTGGTGGATTACCTCTCTGATAGAGAACAGTACGTTCAGGTTGGCCAGACTAGAAGTCTCCCGTACACCAGTTACTCAGGTGTCCCCCAGGGGTCGGTACTGGGCCCACTGCTATTTATTGTCTATGCCCGCGGCATAGCAGAAGAACTATCACCGTTTAATGTGGGAGCAATCCAGTTTGCTGATGACATCTCTATACGATGTAGCAGGGAGTCTGCGGAAGCTGTTTCTGCACACCTTTCAGCTGCTGTTCAGCACCTGGCCACCTGGCTGAAGGGCCGTGGTTTAATTCTTAATGAAAGAAAGACACAGATATTGCCTATTCCCCCATCCCCATCTCAAGCACTTGAGCTGCATGTCATTTGTAATGGGCAGACGCTGCCTGTTGTGAAAACGGCCAAGTATCTTGGCCTACATTTCGACTCAGACATGAGCTGGAACACCATGACAAGCCATGTTGCACGCCGCGTTGCCGCTAAGATTGGGCTACTAAATCGAAGTGCAGCATGTTTGCCTTTTTCTTGCCGTGTTCAGTTTTTCAGGTCCTTTATACTATCAGAATTTGACTATGCATCTGCTGCCTATGCCCCTTTCTTATCGTCTTATCAGGATAAGCGCCTAAATAGTTTGTTCAAACGTGCGGCTCGCTCGGTGTGCAGGGCAGCCCCTCGCACTCACACGGCTCCCTTACTTGAACGCATGAATGCCCATACCCTCAGCATATACACCCACATGCACATCCTTGTATTCATTTGGCGCTGCCTGAACAAATCTTCAAGTACTCTGTTTGCAAGCTTTTTCACCCGTAGTCCCTCTCTCCGAACACGAGGAGGGAACAGCAAGTTACTCATCATTCCTGTCTCCCCCACTGCATCCTCAGCTAAGCGCATTAGCCATGCTGGAGCTATCCTGTGGAACCAGCTCCCAGACACAGCACGCCTCGAAAGAAAGCGCTCCACTTTCAAATCGCTAAGCCTGGCCTTTCTGTTAGGCAGTACCGTCAACTAGGATGAACTCATCTGCTTCACTACCTCTCTCTCTCTCTCTCTCTCTCTCTCTCTCTCTCTCTCTCTCTCTCTCTCTCTCTCTCTCTCTCTCTCTCTCTCTCTCACTCACTCACTCCTTTCTTCCCGGTTGCCGTGCTTGTGACTTTTTTCCCCTGCTGCCGTGCTCATATTAGTTATCTAACTACAGCTGTATCTTCTTCTTGGTTCTGTTTGTCCGCTTATTATTATATTTTCTTTTCTCTTATTATCAGTGGGACCATTGTCATTAGGTTTAGGCCTGTTTTGGAACTCCACTTTAAATAAAGCCAAACAACAACAACAACAACATTCTGAAGATTCTCCAGTTCCTGTGGGGGTGTAGAGTGAGCATGTGTGTGTGTGTGTTTGCGAGAGACAGGGAGACAGAGATAGAGGCAGAACGCGAAGGAAAGTTATAAAAGAAGCATCACACGAGGCATGCGACACAACCCACAACAAGGACAACTTACCACTACACATGACAAAAGGTAGAGGAAAGAAACTAGCCTGAGCCAGTTCAGGAAGTCATTGATGATTGTCAGTTCAGGAAGTCATTGATGATTGTCAGTTCAGGAAGTCATTGATGACTGTCAGTTCAGGAAGTCATTGATGATTGTCAGTTCAGTAAGTCATTGATGATTGTCAGTTCAGGAAGTCATTGATGATCGTCAATTCAGCTAGTTGCAATGAATTAACCCATTTAACGCCAAAGACGTACATATACATATACGTCATGAAAAATAACGCCCAGGCGCTGAGGACGTATTATACGTCTTTTTCAATGCCAAATAAGGCGTGCAGAGCCTCTTTGCCATGACATGTAGCCTTAACCCTCTCAGTGCCACGGGCGACTTTAGTCGCCCAGAATGAGTATGTGTGTACAAATAAATTCGTATCTTCACTTCTACACACAGGAGAGTTACAAACGACCACTCTACATCTTCAGGAAGACCTTGGCTATCGACTCATCACATCGTTTTGTGTCCATGAGGATAGATATCGCCAGGGCGAAGCCTGAAGCGCTCGCGCTCGGACAAACAATTGTCGCGCGTAGAAAACATGACGTATGCGCAAACAACGAGATTTTCAGTGGCTTTCAGGCCAAATTTGTCCGAATTTCGTGTGTTGAAAGTTGACTGCACTGCGATCGATCGCGCGCGTGAGAAAGTGCAGATGCTATGAAAATGCAGAAAACGGACTTCGCTCAGTCACCCTCGCGAGGAAGACTATTTTCGCTGCATTTTCTCTTCCCAGCTGTCTGCCTGGCCATGATATCTTTTCAGAGAGCCATCGTTTGTAAAGATTCGTGGATATACAGCTGAGCTATGAAAAATTTGAGTTGGGCTCAACGCATAAAAATTTGAATTTTTCTGACCCCCTTGGCACTGAAAGGGCTAAATGGGTGAAAGAGGAGAAGTGAACGTACCGATTCCAGCTGCTTGCTCTTCTTCTCAGCGTCTCCCCTGGCGGAACGTTCCATGTCCAAATCTTCGTTCAAGTCGGCGATCTGACCTTCTAGCTCACGACGCTTCTTTTCCAGCTGCGCCTTGGCGGCACTCTCCTCTTCAAGCCTACAGATACCCGACAAACACACACGCGTGCACATTGTAATAGAGCAGGACAAGTAATAGACAACGTGGTGAGTTGGCATGACCAGAAAAAGAAAGAAAAAAGTACCCTATTGGACATGACCGGGGTTTGACAGCTGATGATTTGCGCTACAGAGAAGATTCTAATGGTGATAGATATCAAGAGCCACCAGTGGTGTTAATGCTCACCGCTGGTTTGTGGAGGATAGCTCTCCTTCAAGGCGAGCAACAGTGGACTCCAGTTCTTGGATCTTCATCAGCACTGCAAACAGCTTCTCCTGCAGCTCACGTGCTTCAGCATCCACCTTCTTCTTCTGCTTCTCCAACTCCTTGCGGTTCTACAACACGAAGAACGAGTGAAAAAGAGTAAATAAAATTCACGGTTCGCGTCAGACTCGGCTGAAGGCCAAGTTTTCCGCATCCGCCGTGGGAACACCAGCAACCGCTACGGATCAAGGTGTTTTCCGCATCCGTAGGAACACCAGCACCCGCTACGGATCAAGGTGTTTTGCGCATCCGTAGGAACACCAGCACCCGCTACGGATCAAGGCGCAGATGCAGCAGCTCCTATGATCCATAGAGAAAGAAAGGGAGAGTTACATAACTGCAATGGTAAAGGTTTAAATAGAGACCTGCATAGTATTGCATATGGTTGCAGTGGTTCAGTTCAGCACAATGAGAAGTCACCCGTGAGCAATACTACAAATAAGCAGCATGTTGTGGGTGATTACTGCTGGGACATGCTGAGGAGATAAACACGGCACAGGGCAGTGGCCAACAAACAAAAAGACAAGCACAGAGCCAGACCCCCCCCCCCCTCCACACACACATACACACGCAAACACATGAACACACACACGCATACACACGCACACACACACACCCTCTCTTTCACTCCACACACACATACACACACCCTCTCTCTCACACCACACACACACGCACGCACACACACACACACACACTTGCAGGCTGAAGGTACCTTTTTCTTCGGTGCCCAGGCGACTCTCCAGATCAGCAATCATGGTCTCGTTCTTGGCCTTGGACTTGGCCAGGGTCTTGACGCGATCACTCTCGTCATCCAACGCCTGTGTGGTCTCCTTGACACGCTCTTCCAGTTGCTTACGCTCCTTTTGAAGCTGTCAAACACACAGCAAACAAAGCAAAAAACTGAACCACCAACATAACAAGAATCAGTGTCATTGTTACCATTGCCAGCAGGAACAACAATGTCAAGTGCTTTCGATAGGAATGGTGTTAACTATGAATAGAGATAAACACAGGTACCCACGTGTCGTCGATTGACAGCTTCGTGAACATAAAGTGCAACAGTTTACCCTGCAACACAAGTGAAACAATCATGCACTGAGGAGAATGGAGGAAGAGAAAGGAAGACCTCAGAGAGAGAGAGAGAGAGAGAGAGAGAGAGAGAGAGAGAGAGAGAGAGAGAGAGAGAGAGAGAGAGAGAGAGAGAGAGAGAGAGAGAGAGAGAGAGAAGAGAGAGAGAGAGAGAGAGAGCGAGAGCGAGAG